TCACTCTTGTTGCCCAGGCTGGAGTGCAATAGCACGATCTTGGCTCATTGCAACCTCCACCTCCTGGGTTCAAGCAATTCTCCTGCCTCAGCCTCCTGAGTAGCTGGGATTACAGGCATGTGCCACTGCACTCAGCTAATTTTGTATTTTAAGTAGAGACAGGGTTTCTCCATGTTGACCAGGATGGTCTCGATCTCTTGACCTTGTGATCCACCCGCCTCGGCCTCCCAAAGTGCTGGGATTACAGGCTTAAGCCACCACGCCTGGCCCTTTTTTTAAAATTTAATCTATATTTCTTCTTTTTTCTAGGATATCCCAATCCTGATGAAGGAAGGCTTGACAGTTTGGGTTGGTATAGCTACCATGACTAATATAAGTGGTAGTATGTGTAGAAACATGTAGGTAATTACAGTTACTATGAGGTGCCCCAACATAGGATCCCTAGTAGGGTAAGATAGCTTTCTTAAATGCTGTGTTTGTAGGTAGGTTAAAATATATAAAACACAATTTTCTTTCCACATTATATTGTTATTTTATGATGGCAATCCATAGATAAATTTTCTTTCTATTCATACCTTATATACATGAACCTTAAAGTAATCTAAGTTGGGTTCATATTCTATGTAACAAACTGGTTTAACACACTTGATGGAGGCTCACGCAGTTCACACAATACATATTAAAGAAAATGATGACATATAGTTGTGATAAAGGCCAATGAAATATAAAGATTTCTTAATAAGTAAAAAAAGACAACAATCTATTACTTTTCATTTCTTAGACTAGTTTAGTAATGGTTAATCATTTTACATAATGCACCTTAGGCTTGTTAAAAAGTGTTTGCCTTACCTCCAAAATCTGTGGTCCAAGTCTCATTGTGCCAGTAAATCTGTTTCCATCTGCATCCATTAAACACTTGATAACTGTTTATGAGATGAGAAAAGCAAAGTTAAACATGGCACTTTATGCTTTAACTTATAGCAATTTGATTTATAGCAAAAGTAATGTCAGTTTAGAAGCAAAGGTATTACGGACAGAAACACTTCTAAAAATTAAGATTTTGTAGGATTATTTCATGTTCTCTAGATAGTCAAGAATGTATGCTCAAGTTTCTCTGTATATTTTTTTATCCATGTGTGCCGTGGTGTTTCATTTATAAAGGGAATCCTATTGGTATTTAGGACCATGTCTTAATTTTGGGGCAGGGCAGAGTAGGGAAGTAGAGAGGATAGGAAGGGAATTGATAAAGTATTTTTGGTGAAGACTCTGTAAATACCATCTGGGTGATAGAATAATAGAAATTTATTTATGACTTACTCTACAGATCCACTTTTGGAAGAAAAAATACAAGTTAAATATCTACCAAAATCATGAGAAATGACAGAATAACTATTGAACTAAACCAACTCTCATGGGATAATAATTTTCAAAATTATTTTCCTCTAATGTAGTGAATTCTAATTGTTAATAACTTTACTGCTAAATAAGCTGATGTAGTAGCTATAGAGAAAAACAATGAAAAGTGAGGTTCCCATTAAGAGTTTCACATGTGGAACCCTTAACCTGGAAACTGAATAGAAGGATTCTGTGATCAAAATGACCTGGATGCACTAGCAGTCATGCTAAAACTATATAAACTTTTTTTTTCTCTGTAGTGTTGTATTAGTCCATTCTTATGCTGTTATAAGGAACTTTGTGAGACTGAATAATTTATGAAGGAAAGAGATTTAACTGACTCATAGTTCTGCAGGGCTGAGGAGGCCTCAGGAATCTTACAGTCGTGGAGGAAGGGGAAGCAAACACATTCTTCTTCACTTGGTGGCAGGAAGGAGAAGTATGAGAGCCAAGTAAAGGAGGAAGCCCCTTGTAAAACCATCAGATCTCATGAGAACTTACTATCACGAGAACAGCATGGGGGAAACTGCCTCCATGATTCAGTTACCTCTCATGGGCTCCCTCCCATGACATGTGGGAATTATGGGAACTACAATTCAAGATGAGATTTGGGTGGGGACATAGGCAAACCATATCAAGTGTTTAGATGATCTGATTGAAATAAATCCTATCTGGAGATCTGTGTGTTCAACATCTTTGAACTGCTTTCTTTCTCAGATGAATGGGCCATTGCTCTGATTGTTATTGCTATACGTAAGTATCACAAATTTTGACGTCACTTAAGTCAAAACATTATTGTGAAGACATGCATTTTAAAAATAGTTTTTCAGTTTCTATAGTTTTTATAGCTTGTAAATTGGTTGGCTAATTAAGCCAATTTAGGAAAACCTAACCTTTTATTTGATATACTTACTACCTGCTTTGTGTTAGTGATTTTATATTCTGTTATATTCTATGTATCCACCTAGTAACAAAGCTTCAGTAATACATATTTTCTCAAGATGATCAGTAATAGGAGTTGGCTTCCCAAATGTGCTTTTGATATTTTTCTAGATTAAAGCAAGGACTTTTCTCTGACTTAAACTATGCACTGTGTAAGTGATTACGGGGAGTTGGATTTAGATAGCAAAGAGTCTGGATGTAATATAAATGTGTAGGTGCTTAAATAAAATAATATTTGACCACTGAAATGTAACCAACATTTATTTCTTCTGCTAGATTTTTAATCTTGGTGATTAGTTTTCAGAATTACATGTCATTTGTTTCCTGGTTTCTTGTAGTTGTTGCAATTGCAATAATTTCTGTTGGCCTGCACAGATATCTTCAAAGAAGGAAGAAGAAAGGGTAAATTAAAGCATGTTTTTTCTAACTTCTTAGTCTTTCTTATCCTTGACGTGCTTTTGTACAGTTTAAGTTTGTAATCTTGAACTCCTGACCTAAGGTGATCCACCCACCTCGGCCTCCCAAAGTGCTAGGATTACAGGCGTGAGCCACTGCGCCCGGCCTAAGTTTGTAATCTTAAGTATTGCATGCTATCTTTTTTTCAGACAATGTGCCTGCGTTAGTGTGTCCTACCAATTGCATTTCTTTACTAAAAATATTTTCAGCTTTTAATATCACTACAGCATAAAAAGTCTGTGCAAGTTACTACGGCTATTATGACTTTAAGAAAACTTATCTGGAATTTGAGGTTTAAATTATTTAACAAATCGTGACCACTATGAGGCCTTCTCTACTACCCTAACTATTCTCTGTTTCATAAATTGCACTGGTGGCCAAAATTAAATCTAAAATATTTCACTGTGGAGACTATGACAGTTGTATGCACTAGAATTTTTATAATGAAAGTTTCCACTTGTCTATATAACTTAGCTAGTTGTAAGAAGCTATGTAGGCATCTCATTTAAATACCCAATTTGATGCCGTTTCATTTGAGTTGTTATTTATACATGTTAAACTGGGGGATTAAAAACAACACTATCAGATTTCCCTCTTATGCCCTCTGAATTTACCAGATTGCAGTAAAACTGATGGGGTTAAACTTGCTGAAAGGGGTTAGATTTATAAGGTACCTCAATTAACTTTTGTGTGTCTTTTAATCTATAAAAATGTAAAAATTGAGTGGGCTTAGAATAGTAGAAAATTGTAAAAGTACATATCTTCTAACAAAAATAGGGTTTTTAAACGTCAAACTCAAATTTTAGTTAGAGAGCTTAAATTTAACAGAATACTTAGAATGAATCCTGGAACATAAACTAAGATTAGGTGCTTCAAAATTTCTGAAAGATAATATACATTCATGTTTATTGATTTTTTTAAAATGTTGCCCTCTATAGTTTTAGAAATAGCTTTGAAATCTAACCTAATTAAGATTTTTGGTACTCATGATTTTATGATATATATGTCCCTTTTATACTGATTATCAAGTTTGGGCCAAGTCATAAAAGTACATTCTTTACTCAAAAGAAACTCAAACTTTTTTCATATTACTTGGTTATCTTTTTAAATACCCATAATCCCTTCACTTGAATCTTAAATCTTATATTTATGGAATGTGATATGCATAGTTGATTTATCTATCAGTTGTATGTTTTAAAAGTTACATGTCTACAGCAATGTGAGTACAAAATACTAATAATGGAATATTTGCACAAGTCCATAAGATTTGTGTATAAACAACCTCTAAGGAAAGCAAACAAAGTCACATTCTGCTCATTTTCCTTCTTTGTTTAAAATATCACTGCATTAGAATTTTTAAAGGTTACTTAACAAGTATTAATCAAACTCTCTCTAGCTAGCAGTTAATGGGTCTCTCTCTTTTTTTTTTTTTTTTTTTTTTTTGAGATGGAGTATCGTCACCCTATCGCCCAGGTTGGAGTACAATGGCACAACCTTGGCGAGTTCAAAGGATTCTCCTGCCTCAGGCTTCCAAGTAGCTGAGATTACAAGCATGCAATACCACCCCGGCTAATTACAAGTGCACAACACCACCCCAGCAAATCTGTTGTACCTGTACCAAAGACCAGGTTTCACCATGTTGGTCAGGCTGGTCTTAAACTCCCAACCTCAGGTAATCTGCCTGCCTCAGCCTCCCAAAGTGCTGGGATTACAGGGATGAGCCACCACACCTGGCCTAAATGGATCTTTCAAAACTGAACAGTTATCTGACTATTGTACTCCCAAATTAATGGTTCAATAGCAATAGTGAACTGAGATTGCAAAATTAATTTGGTGATTTTTTTAAAACCCATATGTTACAGCATAGGGTCCAACAGACAATTGCTATTATTAAAATTTTAAAATATTTTGGGAAGGTGTAATATCTTTAGCCAATGCAACATAAGTAATTCTGTAAATAGTAGCACAACTTGAGGAAAAATCATCCAAAAAATAGTGTGAGAGAGGAAACTCATGATTGCCTTTGAATTTTAAAATATAAACTGCATGGGACTCTTTTAGAATAGATGTTGCCCTTTTTATGACAGGAACATACTCGATTGGAAATTCAGCGTAATATGTATGGCTGAATCCAAAGCTAGGCTCTCCTTATGGATCTGTTATTTTGTAGTTCCTGTTTATTTTGATAGCTGAATTGAATGTGAGAGTGGTTTATCTTTCTTCTTCAGAGTCTAGAGCAAATGCTTCTCTGACTTTAATGTGCACATTAATTACCTGGAAATCTCTTAAAGTACAGGATCTGATTCATAAGGTTTGGGATGGAGCCTGAGACCCTGCCTGTCTAGTGAGCTTCCAGCACTGATGCTGCTGCTGGGCTTGGGCTGCATTGACCAGGGTGTCGACCACTACTGATGTGCCCATGTTGTTGAGATCTGAAGAAATGCTATCAAGCTTATTTTTCTAATGTTAAAGATAATTGGAGTTTTTAAAATTCCCCATCCGTGTGTATCCTTAAAAAAAGGCTCTGGGGTAATAAATAGTACTTGGCTTGTCTTACTTTTTTTTTTAACTCCTTAAAAACATAAAGATTTCTATGATTTTCTTTGCACCGTTTAATGTCCATAATCTTGTCCCCCCAGATTGGCTGTTTTGGCCTTAGAAACTTCTTATAAAGATTATAAAATGTCTAGAGTTACTTCTCTCCTTCCAGGGGTAACTGGAAGCAGGCTAGCAGGCACAAATAATCGCAAATTGCTGTTAAAGCCTGGCACAAAATGTATTTGATGTAAACTGGTATTTATGATGATTTGGGAACATAATTACCCTTCTGCAGCCTTCATCTCAAAGTACAAAAATAGTGTAAGTAGTCATTTTAAGATCATCCAACATCATTTACATTACTTGACGAAAGATGGCCAAAAGGTTAAAGGATTCTGCTTTCGTAGCTCTCAGCTAAGAACAGTATAGGATACCAGTTGGTCCAAAACAGCTCCCATCCACATGCTCCCTCCTTTTCCCCTCCCATTTCCTTTCTTTACTGATTCTTCTGCCATACTTTTTACTCTTGGAAGCCACAGCCCCGTCTTTGCTACTGCTTGAGTTCTGTATTGCATGGTATGACTGTACTTCTGAACAACGTATGATTTTTGTTCACATAAATATTTTCATTACTTGTAATGATTTTTTAACTCTGGTTAAGTTGTCCCTGACCATGTGACAGTTTGGCTAAGTTAGTAAAGTTATTTGCATAATTTACATATTTATTACCTGTGACAAATTGTTGTTCCTTTTTTCCCTTGGGGTATTTGTTATTTTGTATAACCTAAACTGACTTTTAATGTTACATTAATGTTGACTGACCCAATTACTTTGTTGAAAACAGTGGTCAGGCTGGGCTTCGTGGCTTACATCTGTAATTGCAGCACTTTTGGAGGCCGAGACAGGCAGATCACCTGAGGTCAGTAGTTTGAGACCAGCTTGGCCAACATGGTGAAACCCCATGCCTACTAAAAATACAAAACTTAGCTGAGTGTGGTGGCACACACCTATAATCCCAGCTACTTGAGAGGCTGAGGCAGAGAATCGCTTGAACCTGGGAGGCAGAGGTTGCAGTAAGCTGAGATCATGCCACTGCACTCCAGCCTGGGCAAGAAGAGCAAAACTCAGTCCCCCAAAAAATAAAAAGTGGCCAGTTCAGGTAATTGGGGCATATAGTGACATGGGGCAAAAGAGAATCAAATTAACTTAGATGTTTTTCTAGTTGGCTCTCAAATTCTTTAGCATTTGACCTTTCAAAAATGTTTCAGCAACGCAAGGATGTCCCCTCAGATCGAAAACAGATGTGCCACAGGAAGAAGCTTCTCAATGCAAAACTCCAGAGACATCTGAAAATACATGATGTCATAAAGTTGATTCTAAGATAATATTACATGGATTTAATACATACTCAATGTATTCCCTCAAAATTGAGGGTGTTAGGCAGGATTTGGTGGCTCATACCTGTAATCCCAGCACTTTGTGAGGCCAAGGCGGGCAGATGGGTTGAGCTCAGGAGTTTGAAACCAGCCTGGGCACATAGTGAGATGCTGTCTTTTAAAAAAAAAATCTGGTCAGGCGTGGTGGCTCACACTTGTAATCCTAGTACTTTGGGAGGCTGAGGTGGGCAGATCACAAGATCAGAAGTTCAAGACCAACCTGACCAACATGGTGAAACCCCGTCTCTACCAAAAATACAAAAATTAACCTAGTGTGGTGATGTGTGCCTGTAATCCCAGCTACTCAGGAGGCTGAGGCAGGAGAATCGCTTGAACCTGGGAGGCAGAGGTTGCAGTGAGCTGAGATTGCGCCACTGCACTCCAGTGTGGGTGACAGAGTGAGACTCTGTCTCAACAACAACAACAACAAAAATTCATGGATGCTAGAGACCAGTATCATTTCTCCTCAACTATGTGTTATTCCTTGAAAATATTTTGACATGACTCACTTCTTACAAAATGGTTTCAAAGATAAATATATTAAACTGGAATTTCCAGTCTGTTTATCTGCTGGATGATCTGTATGACTTCAAAGTTCAAGTAGCTCCTAACACAAAATTCATGCTTCCAGTCCTTCAGTGAGAATGAGAAAGTCTTAAGTCATGAACCTAATTCTCAGCTTTCCTGCCATTCTCTTCCATTGTGGATGTTAATCCCACTTGTTATGCTACTCTTGTTTCTTTTTGGTTTGAAGTCACTATTTTATTCAGTCCTTTTCCCTTCCTCTGTTCAGCACATACCTAACTGATGAAACCCACAGAGAAGTAAATTTTACTTCTCTCTGAGAAGAAGAGATGAGAGAAAGGTTTGCTTTTATCATTAAAAGGTATCTGCTTTCTGTTGTTTCTTTTCAGATGTCCTTTCTTTTGAAAAATATTCAGTGGATATATAGATACCAATAATCTGAGCAAAGAGATATTGGGAGTAAATATCAAAGAGGAAATTTACTTTCCTGTTCCTTTGCTAAATTATTGTTTTCCCATACCATTCCTTTTGAAAACATAATGTGTACTGACAGACTTTTGCTTTGACGTAGGCTTTAAATAGAGTTGTTTCCCCATCAGACTACCTCACTTCTACCTTGTAAAACAGCTGTGAGTCCAAAAGTAAGAATTTGTGAGCCCAGGGGGAAATAACCACAGAATCAGCTCATTTTAAGTACAAGGGGGAGAAATGCCCTTTTATAGAAACCAAAATAAATTTTATTTAATTTTGTAAATTTATTCAGTTACAGTATATAAATAACTCTGTAAAGGCATTTTATCAGTTTCCCTGGGCTGGGATATTTTTAGCATATTAAAGGAAAACAAAAAAGTCCTCAAATTTTGAAGAGTAATGGATTGCATTGCCCTAAACCCTTTGACCCTTTCCACCTTCTATCTTTGAATTTAATTAGAACTATTCCTCTATGCTAGAATAGGTATCTGCAGAGCTGGGAAGAGAGGGAGATACGTATCCCACCTCTTATAATGTGAGGCCCTACCCTAGGTTATAATCAAAAGTTTGGGAGCAGGATCTACGAAGGCCAGTTGGAAAGACAATTTCTTAGGAAAAGCAAAGTGGTGTCTTTGATCACAGAGGGAAAGAGAAAGACAAAACATACCCACCAGAATTGGCAGTCAGAGCCTACCGAGTCCTTCCTTATCCACGGGGGAGACATTCCAAGACCTTGGATAGTACTAAACATATATATATACTGTTTTCTCTTATACATATATACCTATGATACATTTTAATTTATAAATGAGGCACAGTAAGAGATTAACAGCAATAAGTAATAATAATATAAAACAATTAGTATGCCAGCATCACTGCTCTTGTGCTCTGGGGCCATTAAGTAAAATAAGGATTACCTAACCACAGGTACTATGTATAACCAAGACAGCTATTGAGTAACAGGCACATAGTGTCCACAGCATGGGGATGCTGGACAAAGGGATGATTTACATCCCAGGAGCGGCGGAGTGGGACGGCGTGAGGTATCATGGTACTCGGAATGGTACACAATCTAAAACTTACTTTTTCTGTAATTTTCCATTTAGTATTTTTTGACTGTATTTGTGGGTTGCTGAAACTGTGCAAGTCAAACTGTGAATAAGAGAAGACTACTGTCTCTTCTTAATCTCTTAGGATACTTTCGAGGCTAAAGCCAGCTAGGAAAATAGTTTCTAGACTCTCTGAGCTTCAGTGTGTCTGTAAACATTTGAAGATAATTTAATGAATGCTGTTGTTAATAAAGATAATTGCAATTAGTAATCCAGTTTCAAATTTTTGCTATTTTCAAAATAGCTTCATTGTTATAGCCAATAAATATATATTTTTAAATTTATGTTAATGGTTTTTATCTTTGGCATAGATTGGATTTCTATTTAAAACTTTATTTAAAGAAAAGAGATTCTACTACTATGGGAAAAAAGCATTTGCTTAGAAAAATATAGTGGTGGCCAGGCACGTTGGCTCACACCTGTAATCCCAGCACTTCGGGAGGCCGAGGCAGGTGGATCTCTTAAGGTTCAAGACCAGCTTGGCCAACATGGTGAAACCCTGGCGTGGTGGTGCATGCCTGTAATCCCAGCGACTCAGGAGGCTGAGGCACAAGAATTGCTTGAATCCAGGAGGAGGAGGTTGCAGTGAGCCAACATGACACCACTGCACTCCAGCCTAGGTGACGGAGCAAGACTGTCTCAAAAAACAATAAACAAAAAAAAAAAAAAAAAAAAGAGAGAGAAAAATATAGTGGTCTTGGAGAATTCAGTGAAAGGCCAAACCATTAAGTCAGTCATCACAATAGTCCTTAGGGAACTGCAATATTATAAGTATAGTAGTAACACAATGGAGAACCATAACGATGGCCTCCCCGACAAAGAGAAACAAACCCATTGATGCCCGAGGTTGCAATTTTTTGAATTTTTGCAATCAGACCCTGGCAATGACCTTGAGTAATAAGATATAAATAACTCCCACATGCTTGGTGTTCCAATAATGGAACACTAGGCATAAATGGGTTATTAAAGTATGCAAAATTAACATGCTTAGCTGTGACACTGGGAAGGCATCCCTGGAGTGTTTGTTGTGGCACACATACTGGTAAATAGGGACTGGTCCAAATTTAGTTTTCATTTGTCTACTAAAGTCAATTTACTAAGGCAGGGAGAGCCCAGAGCTGTGGTGTCCAATTCAATACTCAATAGCTATGTGTGGCTGCTAAGGACTTCCAGAGTGACTGGTTCATTGTCAGGTATGCTGCAAGTGTCAAACACTAAGCACAAAATACGTAAAATACATGTCAATATTTAGGTTATACTGGGTTAAAGAAAATAAAATTATTTTTGCCTATTTATGTTTTTAGAAGTGGCTTCTAGAAAATTTTAAATTACACATATGACTGGCATCATCTGTCTTTGGCCAGCACTAGACTAGAATAATAGATTTTACAAAGATGTCTATTGGTATAGTAAGAGTGTGATGTAAAGTTTAGTTATTTCGGAGATTCTCTTAATGGAATACATGATTTTCTTGACAGTGAGGGGTAGATGAGACATCACATACTTGAACAGGTAGAACCACTATCTTTTCAAAGGTTCTGTACCAGGGCTACAGCTTTAAAATGGAGGATCAGGAAAACATGTGTTTGTCCCTGGTCTTTCCCATTGACCCTAAATCAAAATGAGGACACAGTTACTAAGTGCTTTGGATGCTGCTGCTATATTTCTTGTTTTGGAGGGGATCCAAAATATAAGTCAGAGATAAAGGAAAGTTTGGGTTTTTTTTTTTTTTTTTTTTTTTTTTTTAGCAGTGCGACCAGTTAAACGTTTGAAATTATTTTAAAAGAATAATTTATTTCTCAAGTTGGCAACTCAGTACTATATTTTTTAATTGTTCATTTTCTCAATAGTCTTCTGGAATTTAATTTCTGTACTTAATTATATTTATCTTTGACACAATCTTTATACCTTGCTTTGCAGGAAAACAGATGATACAGCTGAATATGCCACTTACCAGAGTAAATCAGCCACTTTGGCAGAGCAAAGGAGCTGAATGGATTCCACTACTTGGTTTGCCAGTTCATCTTTTGATTGTATTAAAATCTGCTCATACACAGTAGTTACTCTCTAGTTTCACTCTCATGAGTGCAACTGCAGCTTACCTAACATTCCATTGTGGCTTGAATATAGCTTTGATGGTTCTTTGAAATTTGTTATCAATTTGGGTATAAACATATGGCCTGTTTTCCTTTAAATAACGCTCAGATTTATTGGACCAGTCAGCATAGCATGCCTGGTTGTATTAAAGTGGGGAAGTGCTTTATTTTATAAAATTGGCAAAATTAGGGAAATAC